TTTTTCTTAAATTAAATAACAATAAAAAGACATGAACTAACATGAAGCACATTCATATATTTTTGGCTTTTTTGTATGAGCAGTAGTAGGTCATTCTTTAAGGCTTTCTGTAACCTGAAAGGAAGACAGCGCAAACAAAAATAAGCAGTGGTGTACTTTATGTATGTTTATTTACATACATACGGAGATGAATATTTCCCTATTATAAAATGAACATGACTGAAAACCTTGATTGCCAAAAAACAGTGCTGGCATTGTTTTCCTCTATAAAACCATTCTAGCTAAACTTCCAGTTTAGCTCTGTATCCCTCTCTGTCCACATACCAATAGCTACCAGCTACACTTCTCTAAATGGTTACTTTGTACATTATTTTTAGTCACTTTGGACATGGGATAATTTACAAAACAGACCTACATTTAAACATCCTTCTATCTTCAGTTTATTTTATCAAGATTCCTATTAGCTGAAGCAGTGCAGCACCTTTATTCCTGGGGTCACAAATCCTTACATTTTAATAGTTTGCTGTTAAACATACACACACACAAACAACAAAAAACAGCTTCTCACAGCACAAATTATACCTGATATAACTTTTACAGATCCAGGCTCATGTTAACAGTTTCTAACCGTAGTCAAAAGTGTTTCTCTCTATCTGCAGTGGCACCAAATTCTATTCCTTAATAGCACCATCTAAAATACTTCTTATAACTGAATTGGTACTTGCTATTGGTAATACAAATTGTCCTCCTTGCTGATTTTTTTGTATTAATAAATATTAATAAAGAATTATAAATTTTTAATACAAAAAATAACATTTCTAATCAATTTAAATGAAGAATGAAGTAATATTTATATATTCAATTTAAAAGCATAATAAGTAATGTAGTGAAGGACACTTGTGGGTGTTTCTTTTGAGAAGCCATTTAATGTTTTAATCTTCTATGTTATGACTATTTTTAGCCATAACAATAGCACTCATATTTTATATTCATCTTATTATGTGTAGGATTTTGCACATTTTGTTGTATTTCTAGCTTTTTTATTTTTAATTTTTATTTTTTTAGATGTGTTAGGTTGTATGGTCTCTAGTTTAGCCAGGTTTCTTTTGTAAACGAGACGCTGTTCTCAGTGGGAGTTCTTGGTGAAAAAAAAGGTAATGATAATCACAATACAAAAATGAAGCTGTTTCACCTCCATATTAGTTTGTGCAGCTACGTATCATACACGTGCCTGTTATCCTGCTACAACGTGTCTTTGGACTTGTTTTCCACGGCTTTTTCTTCTCTTGATTTGGTCTCACCTGCGGTTCTCAGCATCCTTTCATAGCAGGTGTCCTGCCCTTGGTCCAAGGTGCGCCCCTAGCGACACGTTTATGGACACAGCTGCTAACCAATAGGAAGCTTGTCTTGCCTCAGTTACCGGCTTCTTGGCGTTCGATTGGTTGCTAAGGGCGGGGCACTCACATCCCGAGCAGTAGCGCTGTCAGCTGAGGCGGCACGACTCCTGGAGGAGAGAGACGAGGAGGATTGATGAAAACAAGCCACCGAATCACATAAACAAAGAACTGGTGCTAGGAAATGATCCTGTAGTGGCCGAGGTCGACGCAGAAAAGGTACAGTTAATCTAAATGATTCGCCAGTGCTATGCCCGGTGCTGTTTAACGGCTCTGTGTCAACCACAAAGGCAACCGAGCAATTTCTTAATACAACATCGATAGCTCTAACTACCACGGGGGGCTTCTACTAGCTCTTTAGCAGCTGAGTTAGCCATAGGCTTAGCCGGTTACAGTGGTCGGCCATTAAAAGAAAGAAAAGGAGAATGTGACTTAACCTAAACTCGCTTCTTTAGTTGCCTCGGTGCCACCAACACAGCGAACAATGCCGAGCGGCTTTGTGAGGCAGGTTAGCTAAAGCAACAGTGTTTATCTAAAACAGCGACTATCATAGTAAATCACACTTTATGATGGCTACGCTACACTTTAGCTATCAGCGAGGGAGCTAATGTAAATACCAGCAGTGCTACTTGTCAGTGATTACAATCTGGGAGCATTAAAAAAAAGTGTGTCACGTCTGGAAGAGAAAACACGCACGTCTCTCAGTTCCGGTGCCCGTCTGATACCCTGTCTGGGCCTTTTGGACCCCTCACCGATGAGGTGTTTTTCGTCATTGAGAAGACGTATAGAGTTGTGGGCTGTGGATCAATGTGTAGTCCAGGTCGGGTGGTCTCCCGTTGTTATTATCCCATTGCTGAGATGTCCAGAAGCAGTCAGCTTGGATGTTTTGTGAGAGGAAGCCAGTGTTTGAGGATGTATCATAGCAGGCAGCAGTACCCTGCTGACTGTTTTAAATGTTTTGAAATCTGATTGATATTTAATAGGGGTTTTGTGCTCTTCTGTATGTGTTGTGTTGTACTGTGCTGTGGTGAAGTGTGCTGCTCACACTGTTCACACATCTCAGGCTTACTCCCTTTCTTTCTCATGAATCATAGTCCTCTTCATCACTCCAGCTTTTTTGGCACAGCCAGTCAGCAGCAGCAGTAGGAGTGACCCAGTTAACTCTATTGTTCTGGGTATGGATTTACGCTATGTATAACACACATACACACACACAGACAGACATTTTGACATGTGTGTCAGAGTATTGTGCTTCTCTGAGGTTCCTTTGATCCTCTTAAGTTTGTTCCCAGTCTGGATTTCAAGATATACAATTCCTGAAATCCAGACTGGTGTTTTTGGAATAAGTTTCCTCTACACCAGTCTAGTTTGATTTCATTTTTAAATAAGCAGAATGCATTTGCACAGATAGTGATTATTCTTACAGATTCAAAGCTTATTTAAGGAAGTCCTTCTTTAATTGTTTGAATCTGAAACTTTTTTTAAGATTTAAATTTTCTTGTACTTGCTGTTTAATATGTGGAGCTGCTTTATAATGCGCTGCCCCACTCGGGCTTCAATTGCCTTTGTAGCATGACTGATTTATACATTAGCACCACTGTAGTGGAGCAAAAAGCCCTGCATTTATTACCTTTTAGCATCATCAAACCACATTAAAAATTCATTTTGAGAGAAACTTTATTATTTAAAATTAGAATTGGCATTTGTTTCTGTGCATTTAGTTGTAGAGAATATTGGCTATTCAAACAAAGAGTTTGCTATCAGCCACTATCCATGTGAGAGTATCATTTTAAAATTTTTGGCCCTCTATTATCGGGTTTCTTTCACCCCTTTTATGATACTTGAGACTCTGTTTTTTGGCATGTTAGTGTAAATGGCTGAGCTCTTTTAAGCTTTACCGTCTATTTGTCGACAGGCCCTTCAATCCCGCTCACAGGTCACAGAGATCAGATCTAAGGAGCTCATGACGAGTGGATCAGACAACCTTTTTTTTATTTTTTTCCAGACAACTTTTAACATGAGTGGCAGAGACTAATCTGGTATAATGCTGCTGTAAGTTTCCAAAATATATTTTTGGAAGCTTAATTAGGGTTGTACGGTGTGGATGAGCATGGCCACCCTTTATTTGTTTAAGTAAATCTGCCAGAAAGTAACTGCTCAGCCATCTCCACACACACACACGCGCGTATGTGTGAACAACAGAAAGTGCGACCTCACACTCTGGACTGGTGAACCTCAGTCAGCTGAGCTCTCTGTCTTTCCTCACCCTCTTTGTTCCCATAGATACCACTAGACACCTCACTCCCACTGCCTTACATAACGTGGTTCTTCTGCCAGAGACACACCAGTTGACTCATACACAGAAGACATCATCACACAGTCCTTACCATCACGCTCCCTGTTTGTTTTGCCCCAGGTGCTCATTTTATGGGTGTGCTGTTCTCCGAATATTATTCAGAGAGCAGCTAAATAGTTTTTGTCTTACATGGCCTGTTAAGCCTGTTTGAGCGGCGTGTCGATGTATTGATTTAACAGAGAATTAATTGAATTTGCTTGTGTGTGTTTTGTTTGTTTTGTGTGTGTGTGTGTGTGTGTGTGTGTGTGTGTGTGTGTGTGTGTGTGTGTGTGTGTGTGTGTGTATGTGTGTGTGTGTGTGTGTGTGTTTGTTTTAAGATTTTAGGAAATTGTTGAGGGAGCGTTGTTTCACGCCTGTAGATTTAATGGAGCTCTGAGGC